GTGATATTTTGAAGACAAAGCTCTTCACCCAGCTATCTGGCAAGGATAATTTATGCTTCCTTTCATCCTTTCCCTTGTTCCCATCCAGGTTAATTTTCTTTGCAATCTTGTATTTTTGTACTCTTATTTTTTAAAAAAATATTTAAAACTATTTGTAAATTGTCTATTGCTGGGAGTCAGAAGGCATATAAATGACTTAAATATAAATGTGGAACAACAAAGAAAGGACCCTTAGCACCCTATTCAGTTTTATTCAGCTAATGCAGAGCAGTTTATAACTGTAGCTGAGGTCATTCAGCCAATTATGAAGCCATCAAACAGTTGTAGCATCAAACACAAATTTTATCATTATACTAATGAGGACAGGATGAAAGATTCTGTTGAGTTCCTTGCTGATCTTTAATTCTGTTGAAGCAGGGCCACAAAACCCATGGGGGGATACAACAGAGACAAGAAATTTTTTAGGAAGAGGAAAATGGGCAACCTAATATTCACTACTTTGAAATGAAAATCATAAAAATAGATTCCCTCTAAGTTCAGATTTTAAGATTCCTTATTAGAAATTTTTATAAGTTTCTCTTTTGACACATATGTCTAAAGTTGACTAAGATTAACAAAGATTTTTTTTCTTAATTCAAAGCCCAGAAGTAAACTGCATTATAAAAGAAGTGTAATTGTTCAACCCAGAAAAAGAATCTTCAACAAAAGTAAATACACAAAAATAGCTCTGAAAATTCATTTAAACAATTCACTTAACACAGACTTAAACTTAATTACAAAGGTAACCTTACACAGTTACAGAGCACTGTACCTTCTTTCTTTACAGCTTTTACCATACACAGTTCAAACAAACTACCATAGCTTATTTTAAGGTAAAACCAAAAGAGATCTATCATGTTTCATAATTCAATGATACAGAAGCATTCAGAAATTGGTACCAGACTCCTTGTCCACTTCACTATCTGAAATTACAGTAATCTAGCTCTACTGTATTTTTAAATCAAACCCTTATACAATATTATTAAAGTTAAACTTCAATATATGAGTATTGGGGAAGTGGAAGCAGAAAAATGCAGGAACATCTTCCCACAACAAAAATGAAGAACCTAAAACAATACAGGAAATTAATTAAGAGTTCTGTATTGTGTTAATAAACATCTTATTCAAAGAAACATTTGTTTAACAGCAAATATAGTTTACATCAAACTATTTTAACTGTACAGCAGCAGTTTTTATTGCATTTTATTTTTCTGGTTTGTATTTCCGCATTTTATTTCTTTATATTTTTCAGCACCCAAGTGAAGAATAGACATTGGAAGGGCAAAGTACAAATTTCAATATGTTTCAGACCAAACTACATGTAACACAAAAATTAATCAATTGTTGATTGGATATATTCTTAGATATTTGGCAAAGAAGTGATTGATAAAGAACAGAGTAATTACAGTTGTATGTGATAAATGGGAATCACAGCAAAAGAACTCAAAATCATCTAGTTTTAAATGTTTCACTTCATGAATGTAAAATAAATTGGCCATAGCATAATACCCTATGGCAGGAGTACACATTTTTTTTCAAATTATGGGTCACATTTGGTCAATAGTCAAAGAGAGGCATTCTAAAAGTAGGAAGAAGTAGTGGGAAATGGAATCTGATTTAATTTCAACCACTAGCAAATTAAAAGCTACTTTGGAGTTAAGGTTAAAGACATAGAGCTAGAAAATGGAAGACTATAAGTTCTAGTCTTGCCTGGAAACTAAGCTAACTGGACGAAGACTATGACCTAGGGCTAGGCACTAAGCCAAGGACAATTTAAGGTCAGTTACTACTTCTGAAAAGGTTGCTGAAAAAAGTGTCCATATATTGATTTGTCCATACAGTTGTCAGTAGTCGAGACTGACTTGAAAGCAGAAACACCAAAAGCAAATAATTACACAAATTATCTGTTTCAAAATGAATAGCTTTCCACAATTTCAAACACCTCTTAAAAATGACAATCCAAGGGATTCCAAAATGAAACCAAGGGGAAAGAGGATCCCTATGCAATTTGAAATTCAAGAGAGAACCTAGATGTGCTATTGAAAATACTGGAAATAATACATCAGAAAGTTGTGCTGCTTTTTAAGTATCTCCAAAATCAGTATAGTATCAAGGAAAATCCTTCCAGGCATCAGAGAATGCCAAAGAACCTTCCTAATGCTAATGTTTTTTCTTCAAAATACATTAGCATTAGTTCTTATTTACAGAATTTCAAAATTCAATCTTCAAAGTATGTTTAAAATTCTAGCAAATGCATTAATTTGACAGTGATTTTCCAATATTTACCTTCAAGAAATATTTTTTGCAATAACTGATTGCCAAGTAATGTTTGAGTATCTACAGTATCAGGGATTCTTTATTTAATCACAAATTTAATTACACAAACCTGTTGTGCCATATTGGGGGGGAAAAAGAAAAAATATAGACCCCAAATACATCCAATTAAAATTGTTGTGGATAAATTACAGGTAAATCTTGACTTACGACCACAAGTGAGCCCAAAATTTATGTTGCTGACACAATTTTAAGTGAGTTTTGCCCCATTTTACGACCTTTCTTGCCACAATTGTCAAATAAATCGTTGCAGTTGTTAAATTATTAACATGATTAAGTGAATCTGGCTTCACCATTGACTTTGCTTGTCAGAAGGGCACAAAAGCTGATCCCAGGACACTGCAACTGTCATAAATATGAACCGGTTGACAAGCATCCAAATTTTGATTACGCGACCATGGGGATGCTGCAACAGTCCTGAAAACCTAGGACTACTTGTATGTAACTGGCAAATTTGGCCATTGTTGTTAAACTGCTTACACAGTTTGAAAAAGCCAGGATAGCAAACTTTGCTACATAATTCCACAAATAAACAAACCAACCATTTTAGCTAACCAACCATTTCATCAGCACAAACTCTAAACTCAAAAATAGAAAATGTGAACAGATTGTCTTTGAAGCAAAAACTATCTTCAGACAAGGATAATTTTAAAAAAAACAAGCATATTGTCATTTCAATACGTTTCAATGACTCTGCTCAATCAGCAGGAATTCAGTGCTTAGTCAAATCTCCTGTCACAGACAATATAGCTATGATTCTTCCTAAAATGTTCAGAAACCAGCTTAGAACAACGTCAGAAAAAGAGCAGCAAAGCTACCATCAAGAGCTCTTTGTAAGACATATCAGCAATCCATTATTGGCACTTCTTCAAATTATGAGACTGGTAAGTCTCACTTATCTGAATTATAACAAGAGATAAAAGGTTAAAAAAACACAACTGCATACTTGTATGAGGAGAACCTTTTAAAAAATACATGAAAAAATGAAATAATCCATTCAAGGCTTAGCTGAAGACTTTATCTTGCCATTTTACTATGTGTCAAGTACCCCAATTTCTTTAACAACCTTCTCTAAGCAACTTCATCTCTAAAGTAGAATAATAAATGATGTGACTACATCATTTTCCAGGAGTATACCTACCTCTTTTTCTATAAAGGATCTTGCTATTAATATACTAAAATCACCATGATTCTCCTAAATGGACATATTTTTAGAACTTCATACTCTTCACCAACGCTTAATAATTGTATGCTCTGTATGATTGTAAGTAGGTTAACTCATCTGGCTGTGTCAGCTTACCAATGTATGAGCACTAAATCTGTTGTGTAAAGAAGCCTGCAAAAGAGCTGATCAAAACGATGGGGAAAAGTGCAGTAGGGCACCCTCTCCCACTTTATAGAGTAATTCCCCAATGGGAGTGGGGGAGGTGAAAACCACAGCTGATCAACGACAACTGATGTCAGGTTACCAGTAGACCACAAAGAAAACATGATCAGATGAGCTAATTCTACTTTATTATGCAATTCTCCCAGTCTCCTTTACAACCGAAGAAATTAGGGTCTCACATCTGAGTCTCTCAACCTGCCCATTATACATCTATAGACGATGCTGTCTCTTATCTAACCCTTCCCTAGGCTCTGCCTCCCAAGGTCATCTCCATATATAATTATACAGGAAAGATGTATGATAAAGAGANCTCCCATCCGGTCACATGGGCGGCAAGCCACTCCCACAAAGGAGACCACACCCACAGAGTAGGTTCGAACAATTTTTGAAACCCACCACTGGTGCAAACCATTTGGGAAAAAGTGATACACAAAGCATGCTAGCATAAATGAAGCACCTTTCTTCAGAGCATAAAAGCAATTGTTATCCTTTGGAGTATCATACCAGAGTTTCAAAAGTTGTCCCCAAAGCACCTCTGCATGTATGTGCATACCCAGGCACTTCTGATATGATTAAATAGCAAAGAATGTGTATATAAACACAGAGAAGAAAGCCAGGAACACCCTTCAAAGCTCTGAAAAAAAGTACTATATTCATAACAACATGTTTTGTAAGGCATCTTTTTTAAATGCTTTGTAGAGATCAATTAATACGGTAATTGGCTCTTCAAAAAGCTGCTTTTTCATATAATATTGGTGAAATTTCTATGTTTCTTCCAGAATTTTCAATTCAGCATTTATTTATAATTCCAACCAAATTTACAGTGACAAGAATTCTCATTAATATTTTACAGCCACATAGTACTAATATATTATACATAAATTACTAATGACTGAACTTAAACCTTTTCAAACTTCCATAATACGTTTGTGAACGTGTATATATTTTCATTCATATGTGCATATTTTTCTTTCCTAATGTCATTTGATAAATCACAAAAACACAATTCATCAAGAACTATAACATAGTTTTGAACAGCCATTTCCTTTCCAATTCTTTATTAATTCAACAAAAAAGTGACACATTATATTGATAGAAGCATTGGCAAAGATCAGATATATTTTGTCAGTCATAGGTAATTTTAGAGTTGAGTTTCCTAACCCAATAGGCATAAGAAACTGAGTATTATTTTAACTATTTCTGTAGGCTGTAGACTGTAGAAATATTTTATTGTCCTTACCTGTATGAAGCTGAATTTTGCCAATAATTCCTTCGATCAAACCCAGACAAATTGGATTCCAAGCCAAAAGAAGATCAGTAGCTGCAGAGGAAGAGGAGGTTAGTTAGACACGTAAATATAAACTGTTTTATCCATATAATTCAAATACACATTTCTTGTTTTATTATTTATCTGGAAAAATTGGGTTTCTACTATGCAAGATGATAGTGTAAACATACTAGGTACATACTACTCCATCTAGTTGAGAACAATTCCTTTTAAGAAAACATATATTTCTTGATCTAATGCCCTGACTAAAATTAAGTTTCATTTTTCCCCCCAGCCAAGACATTAGAAAGACCAATTCAAAACCTGCCATGTCCCTTTACCAACAGGATAGTGGTTCTTAATCAAAGTAGGATTAACTCCTTGGAAAGTCCAATTTCATAAGACAATATATTCATTCTTTCCTAATTCTGTTATGAAGAAATGTACATAGCACTGTTTCCTGGCTGAGCCAACTTCTTCAAAATAAAAAAATGGAACTCAGCCATTTCTACATAATATTAAACAAAATAAGATACCTGGAAAACCAACAAGTTTTAGAATGTGTATAAAAGCTCTGCCAATGTTTTTATTGCCTATTCTTACCACCTAACATGTTTAATATTGCTAGCAGAAAACATATAAGTGGGTGATTCTGAGTTCTGAATTCCTTCTTCAGGTGGCTTCAGGGAACTAAATACGTAAGGAAACAATACTCAATTGGCAAAGTTTCCCCTAATTTTTATCAATATACTTTTAGTTTTAATTAAATATTCTTTAAAATCATTGATTCCCAATTCTAGAAATAAAAGTGCATTTTATTGGGAAAAGGAAACACCAGGGGGAAAAACAAGAAAAGCAACACTTCTAACACAGAGAATCTAAATAAAATCAATAGTTATTATCAGCTTACACAAGCAGCTCTTGAGAATTATTGAATTATAGAGATGAATGATGCCAACAAATCTAACACCCTGCCCACTGCATAAATTCAACACCACAGACAGATGTCTATAAAACTCTCTAACCTCTTCTTGAACCCCTCCAGTGACAGGGAGCCAACTACCTCTCCAAGTAATTACTGTCAAGCTTCTTTTACCTACAATCACTGCCTTCTCATAACTTAAATCCATTTTTCCATGTTATTCAGATACCTGAAGAGTGCTATCTTTCCTTCGTTCCTTTGTTTCAAAGCTAAACATTCTTCCATATCATTCTATAGGACTTAATTACTAATCCCCTGATCTTTCCTTGTCTTTTTCTGAACTTGTTTCAAGTTCTCTAAATTTTTCAAGTATGATCCCCACGACTGAACACAATTGCTCATGAGGAGGTCTGTCCAAACTGGAATAAAATTGAGCTGTTTGGAAACAGTGCTCCTGTTGATAAAGCCAAAAACTCCACTTGATTATTTTATAGCCACATCATCCTGTTGACACATATTCCGTTTGTAATCAATTAATATTCCCTTTTTTTTCACAAGCAGTATTAAATGAACCAAATATTTCCAATCCCTTTCTTATGCATAATTTCCTAAATAAAGAACTTTAGTTGCCTCTGTTATTTTTATTCTGTTGTTTATACCATTTCTCTAACTTCTCAAAAGTATTTTGGATTTGTTTTCCATCCAAAGTTTTGTGAAACTTGAAAACACATTATAACATATTAATAAAAATATTAAAGATTGGGGATAGCAAGCTAAACCCTGTGGCATCTCAATATTTACTCCAATTTAAAGAAACTTTTCTTTGAGCATAATTTTCATCTCAATTATATATTCTATTAATTCTCATATCACACAGTCCATATTTAACTAGCTTCCTAATCAAAAAATATGATGCACATTATCAAATGCTTTAAAATCAACTATGTCTATTATTCTCATAGCTAACCAAGGAAATTGCCTTATCAGAAAGCAAAAAAAAAAAGTCAATAATTATTATTTTCCTATCCATGCTGACTTCTAGTAATTAACAGAATGTTTTCAAGGTGCTTTTAATCAACCATCTTATGATTTACTTAAGAATCTTCCCAAACAGCATTGTCAGACTGGTATATAACTCTCTACATTTTCCTTTTCTTACTTTTAAAAAATAGGAGCATTTCTTCTTCTCCTGGCACTTTGCTAGTTCTCCCAGATTTCTCAAAGCTCGTATGTGAAAGTTAGTATGTCAGTATCATGAACGTGGTACGTAAGACAAGACAAGAAAACATTTTCTTACAGTGCCTCGCAACCAGAGAGATCATAAAATCTTACAGCTGGAAAATATGATCAGAAATCACCTAGTCCAATCCCTTAGTTGTTGTATTTGTATTTGTATGCCGCCCACTCCCGAAGGACTCCGGGCGGCTCACAATAGACAAGGGAAGGGGGAAGACTAGACA